AATCAATAGTATTGAATAAGATGACGAACGTCTCTTTCAACTTAATCAAAGATTCAAAATTTAAACTTAACCCTAAATAAATAATATTAAATTTCTTAGAGATTAATCTTTGTAGTTGTGTAGAAAGAATATCTAATTTAAAAAAATTAAAATGATCAATATTTAAAATGTAAAACAAAAATAAGGAGCATTGCATTTAAGTAGGTAAATATAATTTTTTTGCATAGTTCTCGTTGAGAATGCTAGCATATTTAGTACAAGAGCTTACAAATAACTCATTTATAAAAACAACTCTTTAATTAGACTAATTAATTAATGTTAAAAAGTATTTTTTATTTAATAGTTTAACACTAAGAATTTTACGCGTTAAAAATAAATAAAAATAAGTAAGTGAAATATTAGGTTTAAAATGCATCATGCAATTAGATATCTTTGTAATTTCAAACTAAACTGGATTAACAAAAAAAAACCTTTATTTTATTAAGAAAAGTTATAGCCTTTCATGTTTTAATGCTCTATATTATAATACATTTTTATTAAAAATATATAATACATATTAAATTTAATAGTTAATAAATATTTGAATGAGATGACAATAATCTATTTTCTCTTAATAGGTTCCAAGTTTGATTTCAATTATTAAAATATAATAATATTAATTACTAATAATAATAATTAAATATTTTATTAATATTTATTATAATTTTAAATATTCTTTTTCATATTTATAAGTTGCTTAATATAGGAATATTTTAAAATTTTCACATTGTAGCGGTAGAAATGTTCAAGACTAAGCCATTAGATTGATTAGACTTTATACAAATCAAAAATAAAAATCGCCACCGCGCTTTATTGTTTCCAAAGGAATGGGAAAAAAGCGAGTAACCCAAAAAGAGGGGGAAAGATTCAAGGTAAGGGGGTTGGTTATGCAAATGGAAGGTATTAGCACCCTAAACATCTACGGTACTCCGCAGGAACCTCTTTGAAAAATCTGTATATTTTGGCTATAAAAATGTGTTGTATAGAAAATGGATGGTGGAGGTGAGAAGAGAAATATTTTTTTTATGATTTTTGCACCCGCCGCGGTTGCGAACCTTTAGTGCCTACATACCACCTTTCGTGCAATAGGGGATCAGAGTACACGTAGTTCCTCTTTTAAAAATTTGAAACACAAGTGTGTTGGTTGATTTTAAGAAATAAGACATCATTGTCATTGTCCGTGTGGAAAACATGCTTACTACCCACAATCATGAGAAAGGAGAATTTACATCCTCTCAAAGTGGAGGATATGGCTTGGATCTTGATATCAACAATGCCTCACTCAACACCCAAGTGAAAAATATCTCTCTTCACTATATATTGTAGAAGTATAGTTGTTTGCATCACTACAAAGATTGACAAGAGTCTAATCTTTTGAGAAAAAGTTTAAAGATAAAAAAGCCAAAGTGGCAAAAATGGTTTGAAATGAGATTGATTGACTTTTAGTCTTCTCACAAAAAATGTCAAGGTATTATTAAATTAATTGAAGTTTATTTATGAAAATATTTTGAAAATGCATGGACATAAGTCCAAGTTTATTATGAAAGTATTTCAAGTTTAGAAATAAGAAGAATTTTCAAAAGGAGTGAGAAGATTTTTGAAATTAAAGAAGATGGGAGGAGAAGAAGAGGTTATCCTAAAGCATAAGGTAAAAGTTAAGGATAAAACCATCTAACCGACAAGAAGGAAAAACTTGACATTATGAGCCAAGGTAGAATTCTTATTCTTTGGATTGAAATCAAGCAAGCAAAGATACTAGACCTCTTGAGAGAACCAAACTTCAAGTGTATTAAGTCTTCACAAAAATTGGGCAGAGTAACGGCTGTATACGGGTGAATTCCATATTACAAACAGAGAATGTAATCACAAAAACCTGCACACAAAAACAAACAAACAACCCAATGTCTTGAGGTAAACCTCAAGAACTCCAGACAAAATAATCAGATAGGATCACAAGGTCTACAAGGTAGGACCAGGTTTCTAATCCTAAGTCCAAGAAAAAGTCCCATACTCCATCATGCCAAGGATAGTAACCAAATAGTCCAAGTGCCATTAAAAGTTTTTTAGGGTTTATGTTGATTATTAAGTATCTTAAGAAAAGAAAAGAAAAAGCTCAAATGAGCAAAGTAAAAATGGTAAGAAAATAAACTCTCAAGTGAGCGAAGATGAAAATGGCATGAAATAAAAATGCTAAAAATAAATAGTACATAAAGCATAAAAGATAATAAAAACATAAGATAAAACAAGCCAATAATTAGTGGTTAGTTGGATGACCATCTTGAAACTTGCATTTGGAACTCATTAGAGGATTGGTAGAACCAAAGCCTCCACACAACAAGTTGCATTTGCTTTTTGTCAAGTATACCATCCATTTGGAATTCTCACAAGTACCATTTAATGATCAACGATGTTTAAGTGATCCGCATTGACCAAATGTATTGTAGATCCATTAGAGGATTGGTAGAACCAAAGCCTCCACACAATGAATCTCAAAGTTATTGGATCAAAGAGATCAAATTAATATACTTGGGCTTACAATCATAAGTTTGGGCCACGAATGATCATTTATTCGAATCGGGACAAAATTTAGCGCTATGTTAAGCAATCGTAAGTGGACTTATATAGAAGTCGCACCTATTTTGAGGCGGTCAATAGCAATCTATGCACCATTTATTTTGAGACATGGTATAGAGATCATGCTCCAACAACACTTAGTGCAATAAGAAGGGGATGAGATGAATAGGATTAGGGTAAAAAAGAAATATACAAACCACATTTGAATTAAATTTTAATCAAACTATTATTAAAATCATTCATCTATTTTTTATGGAGTTAAACTCAACACCATGGATCCAATGATGTTAATAAAGTTCATGATCCAAAACCTAACCCAAGATTAGCCAGAAAATAATCACAAAATAATATTATATTTAATATATACATTAAAAAATGTTTAAAAATAGAAAATAATGGGGAAAATATCAATTATGTTCAAATTAATTAAGAAATGAAAAATAAGGCAATAGAAAAATCAGAAATGGATCCAAATATTTTTATAAAAAATTTGGTAATATTTAAAAGTCAAAAAATATTTTTAAACTATTTAAAATTGTTCAAACAAACTTAAAATAGGTAAAAAAAATAGTAAAACTCAACATAAAATTCCATAAAATTTTCAGAAAGTCAAAAATATGCAAAATAATATTTATTAATTTTTTTCAGAATTAAAAAATGTCAGAAAGTATTTTTTAAGTAATTAAAAGAAAGCAAATAATACAAAAAATATAAAAAATACCAAATGTCAAAATAAAAATGTGAAAAATATTCATGAGATCAGAAATAATTCAAAGTATTTTTGTGAATTTTTTCATAATTTTTGGATAAAAAATAAAAGAGTTATGAATTTTTGAAAATTTAATCATTAAAAATATAAAATCAAAAAATAAAATAAAACCAAAAAGATGTGGACCATTAGATCATAGTCAAAACGCATTAGTAAACCAATCCAATGGACCAGACGCGCTGTGCTTGATATGGACCTTAGTGAAACACACATGTGATCAGAAAAAGGGCAACCAATGAAATTAAAACGTTTGACACGCTATCATTGACTGAGACGAGACATGTCATCATCTTCAACCTCCAGACACCCTGCAATGGGGATTTTGTGAGATCCTTCAAATGGAAAAATTAGGATCCCAGGCTAACATCATTGAACTCGTCTCTTCAAGGCGATTCTAACACAACCATCACGCCAAATTTATATAAGGTATGGAGAGAGATATGAATCTGTCATATCCCAAATTTGCCATACTATAATATTATATTTAGGTTTCTAGTAAACCATATTATAGGTTTTATTTCTACGAGGGTGTTTAAAGTCAAAGGGGGGTATGTTAATGTAAAATGGACCATCAATATCTGATGGCCCATCAGGTTTTAAAGTTTGTTTCAAATTTAAAAGAGAGGTGTATTGTTTTAGTCAAGGAGGTGTAAGCAATCCATGTTTCTTGTTAAGGCCCATGTAGAATTCTTTTTGCCTTTTTTAAATATTGAAGAAGGGGACTATAAAACAATTTTTTAGAGGCCCAATGAAAGTAAATTTGATGGCCCACTAAGGTTTTAACTACTTTCCGATAATGGGGGAGGGGAGTGTATGTTTTGGGCCTATGTGCATTCAGGTTTTTGAAGGTCCGTTTCTCTTCCATTTTTGTGCCGACTTGTTATATGTTTATTTATTTATCTTAATAAAAACATTAATACATTTTGTTATTTTATAATTATGATAAATAAAATTATTTGAATATTCTAAATGCAGAAATTATTAAAACATTTCTATTATTTTACTGTTTTTTAGTATTGATTAATATCAAATATTATTAAGTTATTGTTGTTGATCTTTATAACTATTTAGTTACCATAGTTGTGTGATAATTAAAAATCATGTTGGACAAGAAGAATTAAAAACGCAGCCCAGTCCAAAACAAAAAATTGCTTACGGCCCAATTAAAACAAAAAAACCATTACTGTTAAAATCAATTAAAGATAATGCTTGTTTTTTTTCCACAAACTGATATTGTACATATCGTTATCAAGCCCTGTAATACATGTTTATTGCTCTTATGAATCAAAAACATTAATACAAGATCAAATTGAAACATATGCAGAAACGAATATTAAGCATTCAAACACAAAATCAGAACAATATCAAAAACTAGTTAAGGCATTTACAGATTTACAGATCAAAATTCAAATTCTTTCCTAATTCAAGAACCTGTTAAATTATATTCAAATAGCTTGCTAAAACTAGAATTCCTAATTAAAAACCCAATTCAAAACTATGTTTATTTCCTAAAATACAGTACCCAAAAAACACTATAAAGAAAGAATAAGATTACAGTACAAGAGGAGGAAGAAAAAGTTTACTGAAGAAAAAGGAATCTACAGAAGAGAAAATATTTATGAAACCTAGGGCTTCAATTTCTGAAACCCCAAGTTCTACACTCGTCGTTGTTGGGCTCTTCAATCCGCCAAAACAACTTCACTCAATTGCTCCACCTTGCTTTTCTCAACTCACCATCGATTCACGCTCCTTCATCATCTGCTTATCCAATCCGCAGCTTTTCTTCCTCCAAGACCACCAAACAAAGCTGTAACACCTCCACACTTCCATATCCGCACTACCGGCTACTCCACAACCACCACGTCCATCTCACCAATTCGACCGTCAATTCAACCGCACAACCTCAAACCCACCAGATCGTGACGAGATCCATCAATCTTCCACCATACAGACTGACCTTGAAGCCACCATCACGCTGTGCGTCCGTCGATGTCACCGTTATCCTCCCTTCGTCGTTTTTCCGTCCAACATCTCGACGACTTCTCTCTGTAAGAAGCCCCAATTTGGTACCTTTCTTGTTCTTTCATTTATATGGATGTGTCGCTGTCATGTTTTGTTATGTTTAACATTATGAGAAAGATGAGTTTGAAAAAATGGGTATGTTATCTTTAAAGAGAGTGAGGAAGAAATAAGAGTGTAACGATGGGAGAGAGAAACACACTTGCTTCTGTTCTTTATCATGTTCCCTTTGTATTAATTGTTTTTTTCTTCTAATTTAATTAAATAGCCGCTACTTGTCTTCATCCAATTGGCTGGTGTGTAGTTAAAAGCCAAATGAATTAGTATGCTAGCTGAACGAAGAATGGCGCATCATTGTGTTTTAATTATTAGGTGTAAATTAAGAATTAGAGTTTAGAGATAGCATGTGGATCATGGGTCTTTTTTGGGTACATTTCACAAATTCACCTCCCATTGCTAACTTAGCACCTTAGGTTTTTTTAAGTTTTTGTTTCTTTCTTCCATTCAATTGTTTAGTCACAATATTTTTAGTTAGTATTTTTTAGTTAATAGATTAATTATTAGGATTTTATTAAATTAATGTAAGTTATCTATTTTTAGTTCTCTTACAAATCAAATAAAACTTTTTTTCTCAAGATTAATTCAATATCTTACAAAAATATTAAAAAACACACAATTCACTAATGGGCGATACGTGGTCAATATCTGATCACGTGATGAGGAGACTATATCAGACTCCCCTGCTCTATATCTTATCATATTCGTTAATCAATTCAAAACTCAAAACAGCTAACCAACAATTCAAATATTTTTTTAACTAACATAACTAACTTCAAGAATATTTTCGAAAAAGGATTAAGGAGAATTATTATTGAAATTAACTGCAAACTGCGTCTACGATCACTCAACTTACAACCCAGACAAGGTTCAAGGATAATTCGAAAGCAATTCTATGAAATCTTATAAAAAGCACAAACCAACCGCGAACTATGAAAATCAGACTCTGATTCCTCCTAAGGAGGATACGTAGGCATACGATCAAAAATCGTTGCGAGTCCCCCTAACTAAAATTCAAACCCTTTTCCCTTATTAATAATAATTACCCTATTTCTTAAAAATAATGCTTCTAAACCTAGTATCATTACGAACAAGGTAGATAAGGGGTGCCTAACACCTTCCCCTCATCTAGAACCGAGTCAAACTTAGAATCTATGAATTTCTTTTAGGGTTATTCCTTTATACTCCCTTCCTTTAGGATAAAAATTAAGGGTGGTGACTCTAATTTAAAAACCAGTTGCAACAGAATCAAAAACCCAGAAAATAGCGAGCACCTTCAATTTGAGATTTCTCTCTCAATTCTCAATGGATTTAAAAATTGTAAGCAGCATTAGAATCAGACAAAGGAGTAGAATAGATTAGTGCTTGATTTGGATCCAAATGGTGGAGAACTCTACCTTTTCGAAGTTCAAGTAAGAAGCTCTGAAATTGGATTTCTGTAGTTTGAATTATGGCTCGTTTTGATTGGTTTAAGTGCTGGAGAGTTTGTATGATGCTCAAGGATGATGAATGCGCAAAGAATTTTGGAAAAGGAAGCTTAAATTTCAGAAACTGAATTCAAAAAAAGTGGGTTCGTGTGAGGTTTTGGCAGGGTGTTCTTGGCTTTCTAAGCTTAGGAAAATGGATGGGGGATGGCCCTCTATTTATAGGGAAGTGAATGGGAATAAAATTTTTAAGAAACAAGGAAGTTTGGAGGGAAATTGATTAAGGGTCGAGCACGAGTTAAGTGTGACTTCATTTCCATCAAAACTCAGCCAAACCTTGCGTTTTGGGGTGCTAATCACTTCTGGCAAGTTTGCTAATTAAGTTTAAATAAAAAACGCGCACAAATCTTGTGTTTAGAAGTCACATTATGGATTTCAAAATTCTGACTTTGTGAAAAATTCATTTTCAAGTTACCAAATTCAAATCCATGGCATTTCCAACTCGAGGGGTCTTAGGGCATGCTTCTTGATGCTTTGGAAATATGAGGTTACAAGCTTTGCAATGGAAAAGAATGGAATCAAATGGATGCTTGAGCTGAAAGTTACATGGAGTCAAAGTTGAAGAAAAAGAGTTGACTTTCCATACTTAGAAAAATTTCAAATTCTTCTTCAAAAATGACCTATAATCTTTTGTATCCAAACATGGCCTTCCACTTAGAATTTGCTCTTGACCAAAAAAGATGGAATGAAGTTAATCTCTTGAATGACATTTTGAAATTTGAACCACTCAAAATCTCCAAAAAATGAGCAAGTTATGACTTGTTGAAGTTGGCCAAAAATCATGAAATGACCTATAATATTTTGCATATTTAAGGAAACTTCCATCCATTTTCTCACTTTGCACATAAAAGAAGGCATAAAGTACACATCTTTAAGATCATCATGGAAAATTAATGAACTCAAGGTGATAAAAATTGACCAAGTTATGACCATTTGAAGTCACATATGGAAAATTGTGGTTTCATCTGGATGACTTGTAATCTTTCTTCTTCACCAAGTTCCTTCCACATGAAAACTCCTTGGAACTTTTTAAGTGATTTGTTGGTAACTCTTTGAAGAGAAATATGTCTTTGGAATCACTCAAAAATACCAAAAGGTGAGCAAGATATGCTCCTTTGAAGTTCAAAACCCTAGCCTTTAAATCAAGAGAATGCTTTGAGGAACTTTGACAAGTTTTAACAAACTTCTTGTGCCAATATTCTTTCTTTGTGAATATAAGTTGTTGAGGATGATGATGAGGACTCATAGCCACAAAAACCACTTCCATATCTTGAAATTTGAGAGAAATGTGCTCTTGTGACCAATAGGAACAAGACCTTATCCAATCATGACAATTTCTTCCCTCAACCCCCTTGTACTTTTGAATCAATTTTGATAACTTTGAAATGTGATGAGGCAAAGCAACTTTTCCATGCCAATTCTTCCAAAACCACTCCAATAGTGAAGTTTGAACTCCTCAAGCTATGTTGACTAGGGCATGGAAATAAACTCATGAACCCATGGAGCAACTTGCTAAACCTCATTGCCTTTACTTACATTATTAATAAGTAAGACAAGCCAAGATTGCACTTTATTAATTAGAAAGAGAATCAAAGCAAAATATTCATGATCACAAAAGAAAACAAGTCAAGGTGCTTGGTAACTCCTCAAAAGAGCAAAGCTAAAGATAGGGAGAAGAACCAAAAGCCCTAATGTGATTTTGTTGTGATTGAATCAACATAATATGATGAAGGGATCTTAGAGGAAAAAATTGGGGTACAACACACATTAAGAAAATACTCTTTTTTTAATTTTTGATAGAAAATATGATTTATGGTATTTTAGTCAAATGTATTGTATTTAGTCTATATTTAAATCAAAGACATTTAATTTTAAATTATATTTAAGATAAAAACGTATTGATGAAATTTCTCTTACAATTTTTAATAAAACTTTTAATAACAAAGGATAAAAGTGTATTATAATTGTCTTTAAAGATACAACTTTTCTTATAATATTTTTTATAAACATTTCTTTAAATTTTCTAATACATTAAATATTTATTTACCAATATCTTTCTTCTTATATTTTATTTTTTTATAAAATACAATAAATACTTTATGAAAGCATTAACCTTTTTTTTTTATTTATAAATTCAGAATTGTATTAAAAAATAAAATAAAAAGAGTACAGAAGAGGGTAGACTGAACTAAACCCTTAAAAATCAGCAAAATCTAAAATAAGTTCTACCCAATTTATTATGATCCATATCCGTAAAAACAGACACATGAGCTTCATTCCATCAGACAAAACTTCAATGAAAATACCCAATGAAACTAATTTGTCTCCACAGTGGTTCTCTTCTCTAAAAGCACGAGACAACATGAAATTCATTTTCTAAGTTTTGTAGATGAAGTTCAACCATCTGTTCTTGAGATTCTAAGGCGTGATATTGGAGTTATTGGGAGCTAACGCAACAAGCTTTGAATATGTTTCAATTCAAAGATGATTCCATTTGTTCTCGAATGCGATATCAACGATTTTCATAACCCCGCAGAATTTGGCCTGCAGTGTAAAAGTAGTGCAAAGATTTTCAGAGAAACATCTGATAAGGTTTGAAGAATGATCTCTGAAGATGCCCCCAGAAGCAGCGGGTCCAGGAGCTCCAAGTGTGGTAGCGTCTGTGTTACATTTTATTCACTCATAAGGAGGAGGTTTCCATATAACTTCAATGATGTTCGGAGCCTTAGGAGGATGAGCAGCAATCTTGAAGGCTTTCAATACGTGAAAATTTGTGATGCAGTTGGATGCAATGTTTTTTGTGGTGTTTCTTGAGAGACTAGTACTAGCAATAATTAGGTTCAATGCAGCTTTCCAATGAATATTCTTGTTGTTTAATTTTCTATGATTTCTACAATACCAGATAACATTAAATATGTTAATGATGGCGGCTAAAATTGTTGTTTGACATTGTTTGGACCAGGCTCTATGGCAAGCTTCCCAGATATCCTGAAGGTTGAGATGAATGGCTCCTTGGATTAAGTTCCCTAACCAATTCCAAATTGACTCATAAAGTTGCAGTGGAGAAAAATGTGTTCTGAGGATTATGTAGTAAGAGTACATAAAATGCATTGAGAAGGGAACATGTACATACCTTTGCTAGACAAAACTTCATATGTTGGGACTTTACTTTGAATAAGTTTCCAAGTGACTAACGATTTCGAGGGTAGGATGCTATTATTCTAGATAAGCTTAGCCCAAGCAATCTGTTGCC